GAAGGGGGAATTCTGGGGGTGATGGAACTGCTCTACATGTTGACTGTGGTAGTGGTGGTCACACAATTACATGTCTTTGTCAAAATTGCAGAATTACTAAAAAGGGTGTATGTTCCTGCATGCAAATTTTTACTTAATAAAATTTTTTTTCTTGTTAAGCTAAGTAAAACTAACAAAAACCCAAACTTTGCATATGTAAAAGCTTAAGAGAAAGTGGCAAAGCCCATTTTTGGGAATTAAGGTCTAAATTACAATTGTGCTCCATTAGGCATGTTAATCTCATGTGTTTTGTTTTACTTTTCTAGTAGTAAAAGGAGAATATATTTGACTCCCTAAAAGTATACTTTAAAAGATAAGTAAATCCATTATAAGATGTTTTATAATTTACCAATGCCAGCTGCTAGGTCACTAACCCAATGAAATCCAAAATTACACTTTCTCTTACCCTCAGTCCGATAGGCTCCCTTCAGTTTGTCAACATCTTTTTAACATTTTCTCTTTGACTATCCACCATGTCAGAACATTCAACGCTACATTTCATCAAGTAACATCAAACTGTCTTTAAATTTTACTTCTTAACCATATCTATTAGTTTTTCCTTTGACAATATTCTCAGTCTTATCCTTGTCACAGCACATTTTCCTATCACCTTAGTCCAGGTCCTTATCTCCCGCTCCTAGCTAGCCTTCTTGATTTCAGTCTATCTCTTTTGTCGATTCTGTCCATGGCTGACAAATTGATCTACTCAAAAGGTTTCTTTAATTCTTTATCTTGCCACATTGGGCCTGCCCACACCTAATCAGTGGCACGGTTTTTCCAGTGGAAATCCACTGAAGGATATTTTAATTGAACAGTGAAAAAAATTGGTTTAGCATTTTAGTATTACTCACACAGAAAGGTGATGAATGGGATTAGATTATATTAAAAAGTTAATCAGAAAAAAAGTTAATCAGTATCAATGTCATTTTAGGAATTAAGTAATAGTTCAAAAACCAATTTAAAGAATTTGAGATAGCCCTTGGACTTTACTTAAACAATGATGTTATTATCCCCAAAACAATCTTGTCCTAACAAAACTCTTAATTGTTTGCCTTTCACTATGAAATTTTCTGATTCTTTCCT